TACATAAGTTTTAAGCAAAATAAGCTTAACTATTTGTTTATTATTTCACTTCAAATTTTTGCCTTGTTTATTTTATATTGTATATTTATATTTTACAGTAATAATTTGTTTTATGATCACAATATTATTGTTATATATAATATACTATAAGCAATAATTAATGTGCAACTAAAATATATACTATATTTTAGTTACTAATTATATAAACCAATTCAATATTTTAATGATGGCATCAAATCGTTCTGATAGGAGAAGAGCAAGTTATGAATTGTCAACTTTTTTTTCTTCAATACGTGGTAAATTTATATTAATAATATAAACTAGTATTTAAAAATTTGATTGCAATTGTTTATATAAATATAAAACTTGGGCAAAATGATATAGAACATTTATTTTAATGATTAAAGTGTTAATCATTGTAACAAAGTTTTATATCATATAAGTTCGATGATATAATATCAATAACAATAATATAAAATGAAACTATTTTTATTAAAAAAAAAAAAAATAATTGTGCAAACTTTGCAGATAAAATGTAATAATAATTGTTATTATATGTAATGTTATTATAAAATCTCTCTCTCTCTCCTCTCTCTCTCTCCCTCTCGTCTCTCTCTCTCTCTCTCTCTCTCTCTTTCATATAGTATATATATATATATATATATATATATATATATATATATATATATATATATATATATATATATATATATATATATATATATATATATATATATATATATATATATATATATATATATATATATATATATATATATATATATATATATATATATATATATATATATATATATATAAATATATATATATATATATATATATATATATATATATATATATATATCTATATATTATATATATATATATATATATTATATATATATATATATATATATATATGAGAGAGAGAGATATACATATATAATTATGTTTAATCATTTTTATAATTTACGTTAATGTTGTTTTCTATTGTGAAAGTATTAATTTTTGTAGTATTCTTCTGATTTAAATAATCATTCCGTATTGCTAATAGTTTACTAAATGCTATAAAGCTATAATGTAATTTATTGTTATCATTTAGACCAAAATTGCAGTATTGAAGTAAACGGTAATAGCCCTTTAAATATTTTTTAATTTCTGTTGTGATATTAAATATAACATTTAAATTATGAATTTATATTTAATTGAAAGTTTAAAATTATTTTATTTAGGCAAAACTCTTAAGCCACAAGTTGACAGAGCTAACCTATACCCAGTTGATTTCTCTATATCTGACGTTTGTTTTGAAAGCAATGAAAATAATTTAAATTATTCAGATAGTGATTTGTATTTAAATGAAGAAGATTGCATGCTCTCAGAGTCAGAAGATTTGTACAGTATTTGCATAGCGACTCAAGTGACAACAAGGATTCAGAGTCCAAAGAAGATTCCAAAGAAAAAATTTTAACTATTGCTGAT